CTCCGCAAGCTCATGACAAAATTTTATCAGAGAAGATTGGACGAGTTGGTTTTAACAGTAATTTATTTATTTATTTTTTTAACATTAGTAAATAGCACTAAACTGTTGAATAAGTTAGTGCCGTAATCATTTCTTAACGATTAAAAATTTAAATAAACCCATGAAACATACCTAATGAAGTTATAAAGGAGTATGATATTAAAAGAAAAGATAATGAATAAGAAAGGAAAAGGGCAATTGGTTTATAATTAAATAGATGGGGTAATTTCAGGTGGCAAGGAGATCAAAACTACGATCGGAGAGGCCAAACTCAGTGGGGATGTAACTGTGGAGATAAGCGGCGAGATAAAAGCAGCAAAAATGTCGAATGATCAAGTCTTGATACAAAAGGTGCTACCAGAAACGGACATAATAGCAATACAAGAAAGGGACTTAAACGTACCACAGTATGAAATACAATTAACGAAACGAAAAACCGAAGAGAGAGAAGAAAATGAAGACCGAGTGAAAATTCATCAACAGAATAAATCCCAACCTATTAATATCAAGATGCCGAAATTCAAAAAAAGTAAAATCAAAGATGGCGAAAGAGCGGAATTGGAGAGTTCGGAGTTGAAGGTAAACTTGGAAGTGCCGAGTGTGGAGTTGGGAATGCCTGAAGGTGGTGTGGATGTAGATGTGCCGAGTGGCAAGGTGGCATTGGAGAAGGAGATGAAATCGCCACACTTCTCCTTCAAAATGCCGAAGATAAAGATGGGAAGTGGCAAGGTGAAGAAGCCGAAGGTGGAATTAAAATCGCCAGAGTTGGAAGGACAAGTTGACGTTGAGGCCCATATCGTACCTACATGTGTCGTAAAAACACCTTCTGCGAAAATGCCCGAAACATATTTGGATGTTGACTTAGGTGGTGTGAGTGCAGAATTGCCTGAAGTGGATGTGAAGGCAGGCATTCCTCCGGTAGAGATGCAGGTGTCAGTTCCAAAGCCTGAAATGGAAATGGAGATGCCAAAGGCGGAAGTGGATGTGGACCTACCGAGTGGCAAGGTGGCTGTGGAGACGGATGTGCATGCACCGGACTTCCACTTCAAGATGCCAAAGTTGAAGTTTGGTGGCAAAGCGAAGACTCCGAAGGTGGAATTGGAGAGTCCGGAGTTGGAGGCCAACGTGGGAGTGCCGAGTGTGGAGTTGGAAATGCCAGAATGCCAGGTGGATGTAGATGTGCCGAGTGGTAGGGTTGCTGTGGAGACTGGTATGCATGCACCTAATTTGAATGTTGCTCTCTCTTCTGCTCTTCGTACTGATGCCTACGCGAAGGATTCTTTTGATGTTATTGAGAAAGACCTGAATTTCCCGTCATACACTGTTCGGCTTTTTAAGGATAATGCATCTGCAATCGCTAGCGCTGTCTCCCCGTCTCCAGGCGTCCATGGCCATCTTGCTAATTTTGAAGATAGAGACCGCAAGAGTTGGGGAATGGGCGATCCACCTGCTAAACCTCTAAGGGAGTCTGTTTTTCCAGATAGAGATAAGCGCAATGTGATTAATATTGGAACAGACGGCATTGATGGAACTTTTCATTCACCTAATGCTTTCATTTCTCCCTCTGGTGAAGTATGCGCAGCTTCTCCTTCTCCTAGAGAAGTTGCACCTTATCCATCATCATCTGATATCACGGTCTCTGAACTAGAAAGCTCCTCACAGGGTGAAAGTATGCCCATATCTCCTCGCGATTTTTATGCCCATTCAGCTACACCCGAATTTAAGCGCGTTACAGATGCTGATGCCATCGAGGAAGAAGGTACTAAGAAGAAGAAAAACATGTTTGATTGGTTTCACCTGAGTTGGCGTCGAAGTAAGCGAAGGAAATCTGCAATTAGTACATCAAGTGGTGTTGAAGACGGTCGTTCACCTTCTACTACCGGTAAA